TTGATACCAACCAACTTTCCTACACGACCGTGGCAGAAGATTGGAATGGATTTGTTCAAGTTCGAGAATAAGTGGTATCTAGTCGTCATTGACTATTATTCTCGCTTTCCTGAAATGATTCAGCTGGATCGGCTCACAGCCAGTGTGGTGGTGCGTAGTTGCAAATCCATATTTGCCCGACATGGAATACCAGAAACTGTTGTAAGCGATAATGGGACGCAATTTGGAGCTGCTCGTGAGTTTGCAAATTTCGCAAGGCAGTACGGATTCACACATGTCACTTCAAGTCCTCGATTCCCGCAGAACAATGGGATGGCAGAAGCAGGTGTGAAAATTGCTAAGTTGATCCTCAAGAAAAATCAAGACCCATCGCTTGGACTCCTGGAGTATCGATCGACCCCTTTGGAGAACGGTTACAGCCCTGCTGAGCTTCTCATGGGACGTAAACTCCGAACGACCTTGCCAATTGCACCAGAGAATCTTAATCCAAGGTTGGTGGACTCTCAGACGCTGAAAAGAAAGGAAGGGAGAAGGAGAAAGGATATGAAATCCAGATATGATCGACGCTGCGGAGCTACGGACATGGAGGAGCTATCCGAAGGTGACACGGTTTGGATTACAGATATGCGAACCTGGGGGATTGTAAAGAAGAAAGCATCGACACCAAGGTCGTATATGGTTGATACTCCAGTTGGGACTTTACGTCGAAACAGGTTCCATCTACGAAAAGGATATGCAGTGCAATATCCAGCCGACCCATCGACGCCGACCTTTTCGGGGGAGGAACTGGTTGAAAATGAAAAGACCCCAGTTGTGGATTATCCCTCTAACGACTCAGAAGACGGCCAGATAAGAACCCGGGTTGGACGAATTGTTAAACCTGTGGATCGCCTTCATTATTAATTATATTATGCATTTAAAGTTTGTAATGTATATATATATTTCAAGTCTTAAAAAGGGGGATGTGCTGAGAACATGTAAGAAAACATGTACCTATGTTTTCCACGTGACGCAGCGGAGCGTGACCTTGTCTGCACGGGTGAGTCAGTTGTTGTTTTGAACTCTGTATGGATGGACATTAAAACACATATTATCATGTTCCTTTCCTAAAACTCTACTTGAACTCCACAATACGAAAACCCCGATGACAATAAATCATCAAATTCATCTATAACTTCCCCAGGGCCACAAGAGAACATAACCAAGCCATAAAAAAACCAAATGATGCCACAGAATGATATGTATTATGTTTATTACTCTAGTAAATAAATTAATTTTCTACTGACCTTACTGCAATGATAAATATTGGGAGGGCCTTGCTCATCAGTGGTGAACCCTCTCATCAGTTTCGTCAGTTAGGAAAGATGGCGTAAACTATAAGCAACATTCACTTTCATGATTATAGAGAATGTCTTTATATATATATATAAACTTAAGGTTTTTTCTATAGATGTATCTTTTTTATATTGTAATGTAGAAAATTAGAAAAGACAAACTTAATGATGACACAGCAATTTATTTAATGCAAACACAAAATCAACATTTATAAGATACAAGATAAGCAATGAGGGAAGTTTCCAGAATAACAAAAATATGTTGTTTGTTGTTGTTGTTATAGTCGAGCAAAAGAGTTAGTAAGAGTGTTGTTGTTGTGCTTATTCCTCAATTCGTTTAAACAATCTCCATTAGGTTCCATTGTCTCAGCTTTTCTATTATATAGTCCTGGGGGTTTTCCTAGAGGTAACAAAATATTATCAAGTAGCTCCATCCAGATGGGACACCTGTCAATCATCCCTGGACCCCGGGGGGGGGGGACCACAGATGTGAGGGGTTCTCGGAAGCTGATCTGTAAATAAGGAAAACGGGACCCCTTGGTGGCTGGCGCCGCTCATTATTATTATCTTTACCTGGGGATAAGTTGTTTTTATCATCTCTCTCTCTCCCTATAAATACCTCTTGTATATAATTTTTATTGAAGAACTAAAAGGTAAATACCCACCTTTATAATAAATTAATTATTCCCAATTTTTCCCTTGCTTTATTTATCTCCGCGACAATATAAATATCCTTAAGAGAGAGGTTGCCTGGCCGGTATTCATATTTATATGAAAAAATGACACTTCGACCAGTTGGAGTTTACCTCAGGACCAAAATTGGTCTTGATTTATTTTTATTCACTTCTCCTGACGAAGACAAAAGATTTTTTGTCGAAACGTTGAGAAAATAAAAAACTCTAACTGGCCGAAGTGTCTATTTTTCACAGAAAAAAAAAAAAATATATATATATAAATTAATAATCTGTACATGTAGGCACATTTCTATATATAACACAAATGTTCGTGAATTTATTAAATTTAATTTGAAGTCTCGAGATATCATTCAACCAGCACGTTACATCCACCACGCTTATCATCCACCACGCTCGTATATTTTCAAAAAAATTTGTTTTTCAAACAGAAATAATGTAATATATTTTTCTCTAAATAGATAATAAGTATTTAAATTATGTATATAATAATGTGTGTATAAATATTTTGTATTTATTATTAAAAAATTCAACGTGATAATCCTGTTGAAGGACTGAAAAGTCCGAAAGCTGGAAAAATAAAAAGTTGCAAAAAAAACTTAACCCTGGAAGCTTCATTTATTTTATAATAAAATATAATAAAAATGTTACTACTTTATAATTGAAGTTATTAATATGTTTTTTTGTGTGTTTTGTTCCAGAACTTTCCCAGAGGCGGTAATCCTTAAAAATGTAAAGGTAAATCTAATTTAAATGCTATATATTTTATGAGGCGATAACATGTCGTATATATAAAAGAAAGGGAATCATTAAAGAACCAATGTTTCTTTTAAACATAAACTTCTACTGTCCTTACTGCTCTCCGCCTTATCTATGACTGTCCGAAATTTGCAGAAGTGAGACATCGATTGTTTCCTGATCTAAATGATATTTAACTATTTTATACCAACCAATATTTGTTACAGTTCCATAATATCTGTCACTTGATACATATAAATATGTGAAATGAAGGCGATAAAAACGTGGTGATTTTCTTTTAATAGTAAAAACACAAGCTTTCAGGCAAGAATGCCCTTCTTCAGGTTACAACTTGGAAATATTTTAAAACTATGGATATGAAAGATAGCCCAATACAGTAGGTAAATAGTTCAGCTGGGGGGATTGGCGAGGTAAAACACGGAGTATTGGGGTGGGAGGTCGATTTTTCGGTTAAAACTGGGCGTGCAGTGCGACACCAAACATTCAAGGACTAGGCGCTGATACTTGTTCCCGACGCCCTTGTAAACGCATACAGCGCTGTCCAAATTGAACGAGTGGCGAAATTCGGTGATGTGTTGGCATAAGAGAGACTTGCGGTCGTTGGTGCGTATGTTGCGACTGTGTTCAGATAATCTGGTGCAGATAGATTCCATATAAATATGGAAATATTGAATCCTAAGTTTGATTTTTGGTTATTTGTTTCAATTGCCTCCTCTGTAATAAGCGCAAATACTTCAATACTGTCCTTACTGCGATGAAAAAGGTTTCGCTAAAGGTTTATTCTGATAAGCATAGCCCCCCCAATTTTTTCATTATATTTATAACACGCAGTGTTTGTGTTATCTCTCTCCCCTACAAGATTGTATATAGCTTTTATTGTTGCTTTATTGGAAAGTCTGTTTTTAAACTCTGTCTGTTCCAGGAATGGTCTCCTTAATAAGCAATCTGTACATCTTGTTCACATCATGTTTATAGTTCATTATTCTTTTACTCATTTCAATTGTTAAATAAATTATAACCAAATTTTTGTTATTCTGTTTTCTATACCTATTTTTCATTAGCATTATATGATCATTTTATATAGAGAAAATCTATATGTTGTTTTTAAAAGATAATACACTAATGGAGACAAAACGTAAGGAAGTTGTACATTTTAGCATGTATATTGGGATTCAGACAATAACTTTGAAAGATATTACAGTGACCTTTATTGGAGACACACGAGATAACCAAGTGTGAACAAAATTGTCTCTGTCTCCTTCAAAAAATAGACGACTGGGGACATCAAGGTTCTTTTTTTTTTATAAAGTAACTTATCCTTGAAACCTGCTTATTTCACCTTAAATATTACAAGTATATAACAATACTACATATTACTACACTGTTGCTGAAGTAAGAAAGAGAGAGAGAGAATAAAACAAATATAAAAACTAATAATCAATGAATATATCTACTAATTAATAAAGCACAATAACAAAGAATAAGAATAAAATAACAATATTATTAATGATTTTAATCAAACAATCTGCATTCGTTAGGGAATATAGATGAAGGATTATCTTAAGCAATTTAGTTGATATGTAAATATATCGCCTCTATTTTATAATAATTGCGTTGCAAAATAGGTTTCCAGGAAAGAAGAAGTAGAAATAGATTTTTAATCTTCTTCTTCTTGCTTATCCGTAGTACACGTGGTACAGGCCATGATAATCATGGTGGGTATACGGTGGGTAAGTAGGCGACTGCTTTTACTGTAAGTACACCACATGTCTATACATGTGAAAAGCAGTTCGACTTTGCACTTACAAATGTGCCAGAGCTCCGTTTAGTTACTTGAACTCGCAGGTGGGGTTGAACTTTTGAAAGAATCGGGGGCCATTGGAGCATTTTTTTTCAAATAAGAAAAAAAGTGGCCAATGCGGGATTCGAACCCGGGTCGTAGCGGTCGAAAAACCAACGGTATAGACCATCCTTCTTAAGACCTCTTATAGATCTTCAATCTCCAGTAACAATGTACAATCTACCTTAAAATTTAAGATTCACGAATTCATATAGCAATCATAGTCTTAACCAAATCTGTGGACAAGTGGTTAAAACAGTCTATTCCTGACAGCTATGAACCGGGATTGAATCCCGTATTAGACACTTCATATATTATTCATTATATTTTCTATTATAAATTACTATATATAATATTTACGAACGTAAAAATATGTCCAGGGTAGCCTAGTGGACATGATATCTGCCCTGGTAAGCGGAACACTATGGATTCGATTCCCATCCTTGGACACTTTCATTTTTCCGTTTATCATTACTCTTTATAATTCATCCTTTCATACTTCATACCTAAGGTTATAAATAATCGCTATTTATCCTTTAAATAAATATCGATTTTTCGCGCAAAAGAAACACATGCGGGATAATTGTCAAATGTCGTTCTACAATTATAGGCCGCATTTTATTGTATTATAAATTACTTCACATATTATTCATTGTTGTAAATATCATAAACTAGGTTGATCTTTTTTGAGCGGTACCTAATAAAGTGATTTTGGAACAAGGAACCAGATATAGGCAATCTATGCAAATAAACCTGATAAAATATGAAACTTAAAATTATGTAAATTAACATAACAAACAAACAACGCTATAATATTGCCACGTGGAAAATTAAGGCAAGACCAACTTCGGGATGAGACAGCACTTTATTTCATGCAAGAACAAACTATGAATGATAAACAAAAGATAAGCAAAGAGGGAAGTTTACAGAATAGCAAAGTATAAACATCAAAATGTTGTGGTTGTTGTTGTCGTGTCCAATGAAGAGCCTCAGATGTTTTCACAGCAGCAGCAATTTACACTATCTTGGGTGTGTAAAGCTGCTGCTCTGGGTCTACCAGGTCTATTAGTATGAAACGCGAAAATTTTCAGTGAATTCAAAAGTTCACCAATTCCATACAACAAAAGATTTTTTATTCAAAGTAATTGCCCTGATTAGCTATACACTCGGACCACCTTTCAGGCATTTTCGAATTCCTTGTCTGAAAAATTCTATTCCTTTTGAGTCGAACCAGTCAACAAGCCATTTTCGGAGTATGTCTGAGTTCGAAAATTCCTGGTTTTTTAGGCGTGTCCTAAAGATGTGAAAGGGTGGTAGTCCGACGGCGCTAAGTCTGGTGAGTACGGCGGGTGGGGTAAGAGTTCCCAGCCCAAGTCTTTTATGGTGTTTTGACCACTGTAGCGTTGTGGGCTGGAGCGTTGTCATGCTGCAGTATCAGCTTGTTGTGCGTTTCACGCAAATCCGGTCTTTTTTCATTCAATGCCTCTCTCAAGCTGTGCATTTGTTGTTCGTAGCGACTAGTATTGACCGTTTCGCCAGGTTTAAGGAGCTTGAAATATACTACGCCGGTCTGGTCCCACCATACGCAAAGCATTGCCTTTTTTCCTAAGCGATTGGGCCTAGGCTTCCGTTTTGGAAATTGGCCGAGCAGGCCCCACGACTTTTGGTGCATAGTATTGCTGAAGTGGATCGATTTCTTATCAGAAGTTACGATTCGGTGCAAAAATGACTTTTTTTCATGCCTGGCGAGCAGCCCTTCACAGGCTACCAGACGCCGTTCTTGCTGCCTTTCGCTCAACTCGTGGGGGACCTATCTGGAAAGCTTTTGGGTCATTCTGAGGCTGTTTAAACGTAGGGAAACAGAACCTTGAGAAACCTGGAGCTGTTTCGCGAGTTTCTCCTGCGTTTGGGTACTGTCGTCATCCAACAAAGCGTGCCGTTCAGCGTCCTCGAACTTTTGGTGCGGTTTTCCACGTGGTTCATTATCAAGTTCGAAATCGCCACTTTGGAATTTTTTAAACCACCTGTAACACTGTGATTTGCTCAAAGCGTGGTCGCCGTGAACTTCTCGAGCATTCGGGGGGCTTTAGTGGCACTTTTCTTCCAGTTGAAGGCGAACAACAAAAACTTCCCGCAAATGGGCACTTTTTGGCTCGGAAATCACCATTTTCCACGGGCTCCAGAAATTTTCCACGATTTGCATTTTTCTAAAACTCCACACATGCTGATGCCACGTGAGTCAATAAACAAAATGCCTTCAACAGTGCCACCGTCGGCTCAAATAAAGTTGCACAGCGCCCTCTGGCAGCCATTTTCGCGTTTCATACTAATAGACCTGGTATGTCAATTTTCTGCAAGGCTGCGGCCATTGTCAATACATGCACAGTCTGCACTATTAAAAAATATAATATGCATTATATACACTATGAACAATGAATATGGCGCCTCTGCCAGCGCTGCAGAGTTTGGTGGAGAATCGCCAGTGGGTCTCCAGCGACACCACGCATTTTGCGATCTACGATGAATACGTAGATCGCGTACTTCGCCGCTTAGAAGATGGTGATGGCGTGGTCCTCGAGACCAACTGGAAAGATCCAGGACTGCAGTATCACACCTAGGTATTATGGATTTCTAATTTTATCAATTATTTGTTAGTTTATGCTTATTTTGTGGTTATATTTATGCCTTTTTCCCTGTGAGTGGAGAAGACGCATAGGTTTGGTTTTATTGGGTTTATGGTCATTTGGAGTTCCATTGCCCACATCTCCAGTCCTCTCATTGATGTGTTTAGTATTTTTTACGCTTTTTCTATGCTGCTACTTGTGTGCCATATGGCTATATCATCTGCATAACAGGCAACCTTTGTGTCTTCAGTGAGGTAAGGATGGATGTCGTTAATATATAGCAGATAGAGTAGAGGACTGAGCACAGATCCCTGAGTTACACCAGCCCATGTTCTTCCTTCCTTGGAAAATTCTCCATTGACCCGAACCTTTCACCTTCTTCCCCTTAAGAAGTCTGCAATCCAGATTAAGGTTTTATCTCTTACTCCGATTTTGTGCAGCTTTTCACGTAATTTCTCCCTCCACACTCGATCAAAAGCTGAGGTCATATCAAGGAATATAGCCGTGGTCTTCTTTGGCGGTTTTTCCTGGAAAGAATCTATTATTGATTGACAGAAGTAGAACAGCTGATCAGTCGTACAGTGCTGGGATTTATAGGCAGTTTGGTAGAGGTTTATTTTATTATTTTTACAAGCCAGACTATGAGCCTAGAGTGGATAATTCGTTCTGGTATTTTACAAAGTATGCTGGTGAGAACAATTGGCCGATAGTTCTTGTATTCCTTGGTATATTTGTTTGGTTTCAGTATTGGCACTATAATTGATATCTTCCAATTCTTTGGTAGTTTACCAGTTTGCCATGAAATGTTCAGTATTCGTTGGAGTTGATTAATAGCTTTGTCTTCAAAGTGTTTAATCATTTGACCATAGATTAGATTATCTCTTGGTGACCTCTTGGATTTTTTTATTGATGAGTTTAGCTCATTCAGTGTGGAGTCTCTCGAGAAAATATCTTGTTGATGGTAATTTCTTGCTTGTTTAACTAACTGGTTTATATTATTTTTAGAGTCCTGTCTTCATTCGTATAGTTGAGTATGGAAGTGCTTGAAAGATATTCAGCAATTATGTCAGCCATCTGTTTGTTCTCGTTCTCGCTGTTCTATTCATATCGGTTAGAGTATTGGAGGATTGGTGTTAGTTTTGATTGTTCTCTAACACTCTAATCATATTCCAGTTTTGGCTGTCCTTTCTTAGATCCATTTTTTCGCAGAATTCTGCCATTTTTCTTGTTTGCATATCCAAATTTCTTGTTCTATTTTGTGACTAATTTCAATGAGTTTCTTTCTGTTTTCTTCAGTTTTATTTGTTTTAAGAGGTTCATTGATATTGTCTCTCTCTGCAATCATTGCCTCGATGTTGTGGTCCTTCCAGAAATGTATCCACAGGTCTTTACGTCTGCCTCTAGGTATCGATGCTTTTGCAGCTTTGGATATGTTCGAAGAGAATTTTTCCAAGTTTTTGTCAAGTGTTCTGTAATTCAATTTTTCGTTGCACAGTTCTTCAAGCTTTTCTGTGAATTTTTCAAGTCGGCTTTCCTAAAGTTCCATGTTCTTTTATTCTAATGGACATTCTCAATTTTGAAGTTTAGGGTTGTTAAAATTGGTCTGTGGTCACTGATTGCACCTCTCAGAATTTTCCATTGTGTTGTGGGTGCGATGTTGTAATTTATCGCCGTGATGTCTATTGCGGATTCTGTGCCTGCAGACTTAGATAGATAGGTGTTCTCTCCGTTATTTAACGGTGTAAGGTCGAGGTCGGTTAGCATGTCCTCAACCTGCTGACTTTTGTTATCCTGGACAGGTGATCCCCAAATTGAACTTTTGGCGTTAAATTCGCCGAGTATGATTGTGATATCCTAAGACGCTTCACTTAATGTCTCTATTGTGTGTACCCATACAAAATTCAAAGATTTCACGAGATGAAAGTTGGCGATTTTGAGATGCGTCAAGAATTTGCTGCATGGGTTTTCCGGCAAATTGATATTGATGAAAACTGGCTGTCGAATGTTCTGTGGACAGATGATGCTCACTTTTCTCTAAACGGAGAATTTATCATTCAAAACAGCCGCATTTGGGCAACAGAAAACCCTAGGATTTTTACAGAAATTCCACTTTTCCAGCCTAGAGTTACAGTTTTGTGTGGGTTCACTTCTTTTATTATTGGGCCATTTTTCTTTGAAAAATCAATGTAAGAACTTTTAAAACCGTTTTTGTAACTGGTGAACGTTATGTTCAACTTTTGAGAGAAAAGGGTATTCCCATATTGCAGGGCAAAAGCACTAAGCGAAATAACATTCATGAAAGATGGAGGACCTCCTCATATCTCCCGAGGTGCCAAACAATTGCTGAAGGATACGTTCGGTGAAAATCGTGTGATAAGTCGCCACTTTATATACCAGTAGCCTCCAAGATCACCAGACTTGACGCCTTGCTATTTTTGTTTATGGGGGTACATTAAATCGTGTGTTTATCGAAGCTGGCCTACCACATTGGCCATGTTGAAGGCTTCTATCAGATGGCACGTTTTATCAATTTCAACAGATATGTTATTTAATGCTGTCCATTCTGTCATTTATCGTCTGCAGGCGGTGATTGAGAATGAAGGGTGCCACATTGAGCAAGGATTGTGACCTAATACAAGAGAGAAGGCAGTTACCTCATGTGTTATATAAGCTGCCATGTATTATATTATTTACCAATATTTTGCAGCTCTTTGTGTTGGGATATGGGGATAATAAATGCTGTCCTCACATCTTGACTCTTTTTTTTTTTGCAAACAGTAATATTTTGCTTGTCATTTGCTCACATATTATGTCGTGCAAACCAG